TCACATCTCTAGCACTCTACACCTACAGCATCACATTAGACATTCTCAACATATCGGATATTACCTTACTCTCGTGGCTATACTTTCTCAATATCCTAACACCCCCATGACAGTCCCAATTATTCTAACTTTCAACAAAATTAGATTTTTTTGAGTCCATCTGTAATTTAAATTTAGGGTACAGATTTTTGTTATCAACCATTAAATTGTATTCATCTGTATAACTAGGACACATGATCAGTGCTATATATACATGTTGTATGTGTGATGGGCTATCAACAAACCAATAAGAACAGAGTAAGCTGGCCGTAATACAGGATATTTTCTAATTATCTAGGAAATGGTATCTATCTAGGCTGTGGGACATATATACATGTAGCTATGACCCCAGGGAGGTTAATATCTATCGGATCGGTGATCATCCGCATTCTTGAGGTGATCTACCGACGATTCGTATTTGTTGGGTCGGCGATCACTTATAATCCCATAACAGAACATCGGCGATTGGCACATAGATAGGCACAAGCACATGGATGTAAGGCGCAGCCTGTAACAGGATGATCCTTTGGTGTTAGAGACGCCTATCCTCTGGGCTTAATTGTCCTTCATAGCCACAGATTCAGTAGGGACTAGGATTAAATTATTATCTAAATGTTTAATAACTTAACAATCCAATGCTCAATATGTAGGAGGGCAAGACTGAACACCTGTACGCGGTGTCCTCTACGAACCTGGGAGTGAAATATTCTCCCAGAGCCAATTTCAGTCAAATTTCGCAATATCAAAGAAGTTGGCCTACGAGGCAAAAATCCAAATTACTCCTCCACGTCGTTATTTCGCTCCCAACGAGTTTGACTCCTATCTTCGTCTCATCGAGTCTACAAGTACGACCAAGTATATCCTCATTCCAATAACCACACCACTCTTCGACCTTCTCTGGCCTTAGCTGGTCACCAAATACACGCCCACGCTGATATTTATACCCGACGTAGGAAGTAAAGCGTGGAGCACAAATCTGGGAGATAGTTCTTTGGGATGGATGTGAGAGGAATCAGGAAAACTTTACAAGATGATGCGGAGGAAGGATATAACCTCGAAGGGCGTGAGATTCCGAATTTTGGCAAGGAGTTTTACGAATCGAGCTTTGTGCGCGCCAAGACTTCGCTTGCGAGAGTGCAGTTGACACTATAAAAACAAGCCGACGATGGAAGGTGTTGGGGTCCGCCTCCTGGTGGTGTTCTCCGGTATAGTTTGAGTAGCCTGGGCACCTACTCCACTTGGGAAGGAGACGCCTCAGACCATATTTCGCGCGGAGGAAAGTTGAAAGATGATGGAGGCATGTCTGGATAACTCAGGGTTTTTGAGACGTTCTCCTGGGTGGGTATTCACGGATGAGGGTTCTCTTGGGGTGAAGAAAAAGCCACCATAACTTCGCAGTTGTACTTGCAAATGAAATCAGAGGCATGAGTTCTCTTCCTTTACGCTGAATCATCTATTCTGTACTTTTTTTTGATATTGTGTCATAGCTAGATAGCTGCATACGCAATTAAAATCTGATGCAAAAAAAAAAAAAAAAAGATCAATAGGTATTTCCTTAGAACTAATGACTAATTGTGTTGATGAGTAATGAGGTACCCGTTTGGGAATGGCGTTAGGAGATAGGGGGTTTTACGGTTTTTAGATGTTTCCTTCTAGGAAGACAAGGGGAGAGATCAACCTTATACGTACAATAATTATTACTGCTACATCAAGCTTGTGATATAAACTACCACCTAAGTATTCCGACACTAAACTAGAATTCATTCTTAAATATCACTTTGAGGCATGCTTGCTCACTCAAACAGTCGACCCTCCTCCGTGGAACCCACGAAAGGGATGTTCCAAAATCTTTAATAAGCCAAGCGTGCCTTCATGAGTCTACAGGAAAGACCAGCCCAGATAATATACTACCGCACCATTCAACCGGGGCGTTGTTTAAAGTGTTGCCCGCACAATGCTCAATTTGAATAACATCTAAAAATATTTGGAATCTTATCCTTGTCATAATTTTATCCATTATTTGCATCATTTTGCAATCTTGTCCTTAAACCTCTCATGTACATCCCAAAGAATTGTCTCTTAGATTTGTGCGCCACACCTTAGTTCCCCTTGTCGGATACAAATATTGGCATGGGCGCATATTTGGCGGCCAGCTGATGCTATAGAGTAGTCGATAAGAGGTGTGGTCATTGAAACGAGGATGTACTAGTTCGTACTTGTAAACTTGATGAGGTTTATATGGGGATAGATCTCGTTGGGTGGGAGAGTTTGATTTTGTAGAGAGTCTTGAATCTTTGGCTCATGGGCCAACTTGTTCGGTATTGCGAAGTTTGACTGAACTTAGCTCTGGGAAAATATTTTACTCCCAGGTTCCTGGAGGACACCGCACACAGGTGTACAGTCTAAGCCCTCCATTATGATTGAATAAAACTCTAATAAATTAACACTGTCGAAGGTAACTCAGTTTGAAAATTGGACTACTCATATGGTAGGTGCACTCGCTGATATCACTCGAGAAGTTTGTGCTAGAGAATCGTTATCTTCACTCAACTATGAATATCTACCAAGAGGAAAATAGGAAAAACCTTTGGCTACCCTAATATGCCTTTGCCATCTATTATATAGTGTCAGGCGCAGGTTCACTAGGCGCAAGACTTGAGGCGTAAGGGATAGCGTAGCGTACGATGTACTGATGATGGACGCCTTATGGGAACGCAGAGGACTTTCTAGAAAGGTAATAAAGAAGAACGCTGGGAGTCGTTCTGGATAAAATGGCCGGAGGTGACGGTAAGTCACTATGAGTGGCAGAGGACGAGAGTGAGATATAATTAGAATTGTGTAACTGTTGCTAAAGACAGAAAACAAAGCGTGAAGATCTCAGTATCGGAAACTAAAACTAAATAACTATCCTCGCTAGGCAATAAGCCTAGTGGTGGGGGACTACTCTCAACACCTGTCAGTGGTGTCCCCTACGAACCTCCAGCTCTCACCGTAGAGTCTGCAGAGCCGAGATTGGGTAACACCTTTTCAACTTTGAGCTGAGTTATCTCCCCCTCCGTCAAAGATACGCTTCCGATAACTCATAAGACGACAAAGACGACGATAATGATGCTGGGAATGAGGAAAGAGAATACGGTACCAAATGCTATAACGGTAGTCAGAGAAGCCCTCGTTATATCACAACATGTGCTACTCACCGGCGGGCGAACAAAAAGCCCACGAAAGCAAGGTAAAAGACCCTTCCACCCTCAAGAAAAGCAGATTTCGACTCGTCTACAACATCTTCCCTACTAATCTTAACGTCCGAATACACTAGCTAGGAGGGCATCTGAAATACATGAGTTACCCGACGACCCCACGTCCATAACGAGTTTCGGATGCTAGGCTAGGCTCCTTCACGACGGTCACTCTCGACCAAGACTTTTCTGACATCCTTTCACGACCTTCAATTTGTCCTGCGGCATGAATTTGGGGAGGAGAAAGGAGGAGGCTTGGAAGGTTGAGAGACGCTCTTAGGTATACACAGGTCTGCTGCGCCCGGCTGGCCGGTCTCTTCGTCATAGGAGAGCCCCGCACCCAGTGGTTTTTGAGACTTTTCCCTGCAGCTACATACCCGCAAATTGCCATCGTTTAGTTGGCTGGAGAGGGGAGATAATGACGGGATAAAGGCTCCTATTAGTGTGCACTCGAATGAAGACCTGTGGGAGTATTACTGCTGGAAAGTAATCGTGAGGGAGGCAAAGGAGGGAGTACACTACCCGAGGCATAGATACTCCTGGCCTGTAGGCAGAAAGGACCTACACGTCCTTACATATTTATAGACTTTTTAGGACAATAAACACTCACACACTCCGAGCCTAGTGGTGCTAAACAAGGAACCCATAAATCCTGCCTGAGGCATCTATCCGGAATCCTTACATATAGCCACCGCGCAAGATCCATTTCTCACAGAATTATGTAGGACGTAAATTAATCCAAAAAATTGTACATGAATACCCGTCGAAATATTTCGAGTGAGTAGAGGCCTTAAAAAAGGCATAGATAATCCCCGACTGTGAACAGAAAAAATCTTCATCTTAAAATTCTCTAATTCTATGACCAGAAATAATGAAGTACAAAGGTGTCTGAACAGGTTTACTACTTCATGTATCACGTAACCAGTAATAATTTTTGGCATCTTAGAAAACATTAAAACCGAGAACATATATAACACATACAGTTTCCAGCAACCGAAACTATAGTTAAATAGAGGTAGTATTTCAGCCTCCGGTTTTGTACTATACGCCTCACAAGTCGTACTTTTAGCATTATCCAAAAGGCCGTGAGTAGGTAAAATTTTCCAAGTAATTCAGATCACATCAAAAATTTCAATAAGCCTAGCCTAGCCAAAATGTATACACCGGTCTCACTTTATCCGTTGGTACCAGTAGAGAACATGCAGAAATGGTTCTACCAGTATAGTTGATAGAGTCTGCCGCATAAATTAAGTGCGTCGTTGGTATGTTTGTATAATCATAGACCGTGGAGTTGATATTCAACATTAAAAGAGTGGATTATCCGAAACTGGTATGACCATTAACTTATTGTTCTTTCAAAGCTATTTCGATGAAAATGAGGCACTGATCCTCGTCACCCTACAGGCTAGCCCTCTCGACATCTGTATTAATAAGAATTGTCTAGTGTTTTAACCCTAAGAAACGGATAATTTCTTTGCTGAAAGGGAAGGCGTATTACTTATGGTGAATATTGGTTTGAGTTGGCCATGACTGAGCTTAATCCCTAATTTACACTTTATTGCATATTATAGCAAGCCGTATTTCTATGAACGATAAATAATGGCCAAATCATATTATCTGATACACCTGTGGATGGTGACGATTAAGTATCTTTCTTGGCGCGTCGAGATTGGCTTTGATGGAGCATCACTGGCTTTTGTGTTAGCGATACGGCAATATCGTACATTACTCGATATCAGATTCCTCTCCCGAGGAATATTCTTGTTCATCATCAGATTGTTCATTTGAAGAAGCGTCTGATTCTTCAACATCACTTTCATCGGAAAAAACGGGTTCTCTGGGTTTATGGACAGCTATACACGCAGGATATATGATGGTTTTTTTACAACGGAACTTTCTACAGTCGAGATCCATGTTGACGACCGTTCTCATTACGACGGCTGAATGTTTGCAGTAGGCGTCCATCTTAATCAAGTGTGACTCAGACCTTCTCCAAAATTTAAAACTCCCTAGATACAAGAATGAGCTTCCAAAATGGTATGGGCAATAGAGGACTTACATCGACGGTAGATTTTACCGTTGGGTAGAATTGGATAGAGGAAGTTATCTCTGTAAGACCGACCGGTTGAACTTCTTGGGTCTGCTACAGATGTAGTGTAGGATTTTGGATATCGGACAAAGCCCATCGTCTTTTTATTTCTGTTCAATAGATCGCAGGCTTGTTTTACCGCCGCATTTACCTGTTTCTTATGGTATGTAGTCGTACGACACTCATACTTTATTGGGTCATCTTTATTAGCTCTGAGCGTCGATGGAGCAACTCTCCTGTGTGAGTAAGTCAAAGAAATAAAGGTAGCTATTAAGATCAGATATAATGATCGCATGATGGATGAAGGCATATTAGTCTCCAGTGAAATGATAGTGGATGAATAACTAAGAAGACGCTGGAATCATATTGCCTTTTAAATGTTCATCTAATAATAGTTCAGAATTACTTCTACTCTTCTCATTCTGTAGTGATTAAAGTCGCCGCGTAGGCTAGTCATGTTCCTCATTCCTCAAGCTCGTCTATGACCCAAGGATACGGCAGTCTCATTAAACATATCAACGCGCGCCCCAAATGCACGACAAACTGTTAGTAGAGACTAGAAATTCCATCTCAATGCTGATCGGATTATCAGTCTTCCGATGCGGATGCGGATGCGCGATTTACGGATTGGATAATAACTCGTTCTGAAAGATCTGGATATCTTGGTCATAGATTTGTGGTAGGCGCCGAATGCATCACGTATCCAATAATTGTGTGAATTGCGTGCAGTTTCCCAGGGATCATAGATAGCAAGATATCGATCAATTACAATCGAGCTTACAACTGAGAAGCACGGCACCAAGTCGTATTTTTTCCCTGCCCCGGTCAACGATATCTCTGTAGCAATACTGGGTATGTACTACCGAAATAACGCCAAGGGCTCATCTACCTTTACTAATCTTCACCCGCTCGCTTAAATGGGCCCCGTGTAAGGCAAAGACTGAACATCTGCACACAGTCTCCACTGTAAGCCATGGAGTGGCATGCTCTCCAAAAGTCGAGTTCAGTCAAATTTTGCAATACCGAAAACGTTGTTGCTCGAGACAATGATAGATTACTCCCAATCAAGTTAATATTTCATTCCTAACAAGGTCGATTTCGGCCTAAGCCTCATTAAGCCAGTAAGTACGGCCCTCGTTTCGATCACACCTCTTGTCAAATCACTCTAGCCTCAAACGGCCTCCAAACATATACCCAAGACATTAATTATACCCACCAGAGAAAACAAATATGGCGCAAAATTTTTGGAAGCAGAGTTCAGGGATGGGCACGAGAGAGATCTGAGCAAGTGGACAAGTCTATGCTAACGTTAGACACAATCTCGAAAGGGGTGAGATCTTAGAATTAGTCAAAGTTCGTTTACAGATGAGCTTTGTGCGCCATACGACTTCGTTTGCGAGAGTGCAGGCGACACTATTATTAATTCATTTTTTTGTCCTGTCTGAGTCTATGACTATGTAAGACATGCAGGTCCTCTCTACGTACAGGCCAAGGATACCTATGAGGATCCAAGATTGACAGACCTCTAAATTAGTACGAGGCTCTGATAAATTGTAATGCTTATGTACTGTTGTTCATGTAGGAGTCCTGGCGCAAGATAAGGAATACTGCATTTATATAGACGATACCCTGTATTAATAGAAAATCAAGTTACATCTAGTCTTAAGCTCTACTATACATATTGGTAGTTTGGAGCCACGAGACACCCGTAACCTACGCCATCATAAAGCTAAGCTTATCTCACTTTTCACACATACTAATCCATCAGGAACCTTACCTATACCAGTTGTATATCCCCTCCTATGCCTTCCCGACAGCTCTCTTGAAACAGTACCACCCTTCACAAGTTCTCACTCGATCATACACTTAGAGAAGCCCTTTGCCCTTCATTATCTCCCCTCTCCAGCCAACGAAACGATGGCCATTTGCGGGTGTATGGCAGCCAGCAAAAATCGCAAAAACCACTGGGTGCGGGGCTCTTCTAATACCGACATTAGGAATAAATCCGAAGACATATTGCCCCTTCTGAAGCGTTCGAAGAGGCCGGCCAGCTGGGCGCTGCAGACTTGTGGGTACCTCGGGAAATTCACACTCTGCCTTTCTAGCCTCCTTCCAACTCCTTCCCGAAGGTGTTGCTGAAATGTCGAAAAAGTTTTGACAGAGCGTAATTGCTGTATGGCAGATTAGCCCAACTTCTTTTGTACCGTCCAGGGCGCTGGGGAGTGCCGTTGACTCATCGATAATAGAAGCTATCCTGCCTAATTTGCTGAAATCTCGGTATTGGCGCACACAAACATTCCAAAGTTGAAAAATCCTTGAAATATCAGTCCCAGCATGGTCTTCAGAGACTTGTTCCCCCTCTCGCCCCACATCTCAGGCGCCTGTTCTCCCTCAAGTTGTTTGTCCCATTAGAGCAACAATCCCCCATAAGCCAAGACCCAGGCATTGTATTTTTCGACTTTATTACCTCCTTGCGAGTATAAATGGCATCGTAAATATATAGTGAGAGATTGTTGGAAATCAATGGGGAAAGCTCCTGTATGCAATTGGAGCAACTTCTTTATTGGTCTTCGAGGCGAGATGATGCTTGGTTAGAGAGAGGTCGAAGACTCAGATGAGAATGGCAAGAGAGGCATTGTCGAGAAGTCGTCAAATGGAGGTGTGCTTCAGGTTGCTTTCGACTTCGATTCGGATGTGATTCTTCTTGGCTATTCTAGATATGCAGAGAATACTGAGCGATTACACCGGCACCACTGGAAGGTGAAGAATTCGTCTTTGCCGGCGCAGGCGACACTGATAACACCGCCGTGGATGGACGGTGCAGTAGTACATCATCTATAATGGCCTCTCGAGTAAGTTCTGGATAGCTAGGACACGTATCCTACTTGAGACAGAAGACCGGTACTTCAAATTCAGCAAAACGCAACTATACATCTTGCAGTGCTGATGTTCATGGATCGCGAGAGCATGCATGGATGTTCAAAGGCATTGAAACGTCCCTTTAATGGATACCCACGGAGGAGGTTCCAATGTTTGTGTAAACAAACACACCTTAGGGTGGTATTTTTGAATAAGTCAACAGAATATTTTAATACTCAATGAGGCTCATAGAAGCTGGGCTAAGCTACCACTATGCTGACATGCTCCAAAGGGTTTTGTGGCACTTTAACACCACCTCCAAATAGCCCTGAGGCTTGTGCGGGAGGTGGAATTGTATGGAAGCAAGAAAGGTAAAGAGTGACTTTTATAGGTACAAACAGGTCTATAGCGAGCAGCTGGCGGGCTTTTCGAAACTCTTTCGAAGCGTAGCTTTGGCTTCGGATCCCTTCCTGATGTCGGTACTGGAAGAACTTCGCACCTAGTGGTGGTTGCAATTTATCCGGCTTGCATACCTCCGCAAATATTTTTCGCTTTGATGGCTAGGGAGAGGAGGTGATAAAGGTCAAAGGGCTCCTCGAAGTGTGTGATCCAATGAGGACTTATGAGTGGTGTTATTATGTTAAATGAGCTAACTAGGAAGCATTAAAGGGGATATACTACCGGCATAGGAATTCTTGGCTTGTAGATAGAGAGAAGCTACATGTCCTACTTAATAATTTTGAGGGTTTAAATTATCGCGCACAAGCCCGGGGCCTAATGGGCATGGAACAATAGCAAGGAACTGTAATAACTCAATGTTAGTTGCCATAATGTGACAATAGACCACACTAATTGATTTCTCCAACAAGGTAAACTTGGACTTGCATCCTAAGCTCAACTGTTAATATCTGACTGAGGGAAAAGTGATAACGAGATAAGTATACATCATTATGCAAGATACGGTGTGCCATGGCCCGCTAGATTCAAACCGGTGGTCACTATGTCTTTAATGGCGCAGTCGTTACTCATTCAAATTTGATGTTTAGACCGATTATTTCACCGCTAAACAGTCTATGCAATCTATGTCCCTTAAGACTTTGGAGTGACAATAGATCATGCGTAGCAAACACAGATACAAGGAACTACCCTACAACCTTTGCGAGCGACACAATTTAACGAACCCAATGAGTTCCTTGCTCAACAGATTAATTGTAGCAAAGCCTTAAGATACTAAATGAAACAAATTAAATTACAACTAATTATTATAAATAAATGAATCACAATCCTGAGCTGTGACGTCTGCGCCACGACACCATTTCTTAGAATATCGAGGTCTGCATTGTGGAATGTAGCGAGTAATAATCTCAGGCTTGTTTCAATATGATGGAGTTTACGATGCTTGAAGATAGTGAGTAAATAAGCCTCTGCCGATACTTGTCTCTTATCATTTCCATTTTCCTCGGCTGAGATACTTCATTCTGGTCAGCCAGACATTCCACAGCTGATTAACACTCAGAACGATGCTTAATGTTGAAGTTTCCGATGTACCTTATTACCACAGTGTCAAGTTTGAAGTGGGGCTTTGGCAGGGGGCTTAGCGTGCAAATTAACACTCCTTAGGTATAGTCACCTTCCATATTGGAGTTAGCCCCCGTATTTGTGCAAATTTTTGAAAATTTTTATATGGCAGTTTTTATCTGGAAACCATAGTGTGCAGTGGTTCTTTCTTTGTACTAAACCTAATTGGTATAATGATCGGCTGCATAACATCTGTGTATTTTGCTACTTGACTTTATAACTTATTTACGAGAATTTAAAGGTTTTCGAATTACAAAATAGAGCCTCAGTCTTATCTCAATCTTGGATCTGAACATGTCACTGGAATATTTTCGGACCTTAATCGATGCAGATGGGGGACCAACCAGATATCAAGGCCTGACCTCTTGCTGGCAAAGCCTGAATGTGTCACAAGATCTTCGGAAGAAACGGAATCTCATGACTCCTTTACGATCTTGTAAAGACTATCTGGAGTTCGCTACTTTCCCGACCCAGATTCAGGCGATGGTGCTGGATGTAATCCTTCATCCGATTCGGAACAGCTTCAATCGAGTAAAGATCAGGCGAGTTGGCCAGCCAGAAAATCGGCTGAATGGCCTTAGGCTCACACCTTCCATTTTAATTGCTGCTGCGTGAGAAGGGGGATTGTCCTGCATCATGGAAAGCCAAGGTCTCATTGAGACCATGCCATCGATAAGAGGAACTATTTTCTCACAAAATTTTTGGAAGTTAATAGATCCCCACTCCGGAGGGCAAGACTGAACACCTGTCAGTGGTGCTCTCTACGAACCTGGGAGTGAAATATTCTCCCAGAGCCAAGTTCAGTCAAATTTCGCAATACCGAACAAGTTGGCCCACGAGGCAATGATTCGAATAACTCCACCACGTCAAATTTTCATTCCAAAAAAGATCGAATCCTACCTAAACCTTATCAAGTTTACAAGTACGACCTAGTACATCCTAATCCCAATGACTACACCTCTTGTCGACTTTCTCTGGCCTTAGCTGGTCGCCAGATACACGCCCACGCTGATATTTACACCCGACGGAGGAAGCAAAGCGTGGCGCACAAATCTGGAAGACAATTCCTTGGGATGGATGTGAGAGGGATCAGGACAAGTTACTAAGATGATGCAGAGGATTGGATACTATCTCGACGGGCATGGAATTTTGAAATTTGGAAAGGAGTTTTTACAAATTGAGCTTTGTGCGTGCCAAGTCTTCGGTTGCGAGGGTGCAGGCGACACTATAAACACCGCCATGGTTGGATGGTGCGGTGGTACATCGTCTTGGCCGGTCTGCCAAGTAGAGTCTGGATAGCTTGGACACATATCCCACTTGAAACAGTAGATCGCTGGTTCGAATCCGGCAAAACACAACCTCATTTCTCGCGGCGCTGGTATGCATGGATGACGAAGGCATGCTTGGATAACCAAAGGTTTTTAATTTCCCTTTGGTGGGTACTAACGGAGGAGGGTCGACTGTTTGTGTAAGCAAGCATACCTCATAGTGGTATTTGCAAATGAAATCCAGAGTATGAGTGTCTCTAACGTCAAAAGAGTCATCCAACGTGTATACATAACACCGGTCATGTGTCATAGCTAGATAGCTGAATACACATTAAATGGAAAAAAAAAAAAAGATCCCCACTCCTTCTCCCAAAATAAACGGGCCTTTGTCTGGCCCAGTGAAGCAACCCCAGAACATCCAGCCGAACCTCTTCGGATCTTCTCCAATACAATCAGCGCTGTATTCTTGGGAAGTCTAGCTCACAATGTTAGAGCATTAAATTACTATCTTCATATAGAGGAATGTACGAATACTTCTTATCTTCCACCCTCTACTCAAGTTTCGTCTGTCCATAAAATTTACATCCAGTCGTCAAATGTCCAATTTAGGTGAGCTTCGACCTATTCTCTGCGTGTCTTCATAGCTTTCTGAGATACCGGAGGCTTTAGACGAGCCACATTTCGCTGATATCCTTGTCTTCCATCCAGTCATACAGCGATAGAAGGCCACCCATTTAATACATTCCCATGATAAAGAAATGATGTTACCGCTTTCGATCTTTCTTAAGCGCTGCCTAAACCACAACACGGCCAGTCCGTAACCGTCAGAGAACGCCGTGACTTTTGGTCCAGACAAGGCCGAAGTGGTCTACTTCATTGGCCCTAGAGCCAGAAGATGCGAGCTACCTACAATCAGAACCGGCACTCGCGAAATCCAAGATTCAGACGAGATTCGATGGCTTATAGTGCACCTCGAGCGTGGCCTTACATTCGCAAGTCATGTTGCCAAGTGGACGAATAAAGCAATGCGCCTGGTACAACACTTTCGACGTATTACTTGGTGCACCCAAGGACCACGGCCGGACTTACTAGCCACAGTCATCTGCACAGCAGTCCTTCCAATTGCGTTATACGCTGCAGAGATCTGATGCCCAGGGCCAACAAGGGAAACATATTGGGGTGCGACGCGAAACTCATACGGGAGATAGTGCAAAGACATCGATCAAGCTTCCGTCTCCGGAATCCGTACTGCTCTCTCGACCTAGCGCACTACGCCGATCAGCCTTGAGAAAAGGGACTGGCATTCCACCAGCACACATACTTTTCGAGGAACGTAGGCTCAAGACTGCCACCCGAATCAGTAGACTAGATTGCTATCATCCGCTTCGAATACGAGCTATGGGGGTCACAGATAGCGTCCGTCACCGCCTTGTACTACGCACAGGCAACAGAAATAGACTTGGTCTCGACCGAGTTCATGATTCGAGAGTCCAGAGAATGTTCCAACTCTTATCAGATACTAAACTACCTCCACCTCTTCAATTACCAGTACCAGCCGAATCAAAATTTTGTTGGACAAGTAAAGGAGATGCAGCAAATTTCATAACACAATGGCTTACGACCGTGCCATCCGACTGTCTTTGCACTTACAGCGATGGTTCCGGGGCGTCTACCGACTGTATCTAATTGGCTTTTGTGATCTTCGTCAGTGGAACTGGAACAGTCATTGAACAAAGCGGCTCGGAAAAAACCTGAATGCGGAAGTCTATGAGGCATAGGTTCATGGAGCTATGGCTGTTCTTGAGCCTAATATCACCAGGAAACGAGATTGGGGACGCAGCGCTATCTCCGTCCCGCTCGACAATTCCGCGGCAGATTAGGCGCTAGTAATAGGCTAACTACCTCATCATCTTGTCAGATTCAAAAGTTCTGGAGGATGGCCACAAGAGCAGCTGTAGCCGTAAAAGTAGGATGGATCCCTAGACACTAAGGGCTATCAGGAAACAAGGTAGAGATAGGCTTACAGGAAGAGAGCTTTACTCGCAAGATAACGCCATGACGTCGTATGATAGAATGATCCTTGCTTCATCAGGACGCCATGCTCGCGAACTGGCTGGGCAAATGCTGACGATCTGGTGACACTCAAGCCGCCCCAAACGCGACGCTAACCTCTAACTCCAGATGCGATGCAAGATACCGCCAGAACCAGTGTTCCTGAGAGCGGTTTACGCCAGCCTAATCACTGCTTGAACAGGACATAGCGGCTTCGCAGCGTACCACCGCCACTTCAATCTTACGACAGCCGCACTTTGCTGTGAGTGTGTCTGAGAAAACTCTATTGGTCATGTTGTCCAGTGGAGAAAATCACTGGTGACATGGCGACTGAAAGGTGGAAGACGGAGAGCATCGGCGCTGGAAGTCCTCCTCGTATTAAGTGGATAGCGGCTGTTAAAGGACTACGTCCAGGAGAGCGGAATATACGCAGCAGATAGTTGAGGGATGGTGAAGATACCTGCGAGTGAGTGGTCATAGATCGACAGCCCAAGAGGATTGGCATGGAAGGAGTGTTTGGAGTCAAGACTTGGGTACGTGGCGGCTGAGGCAGAACGATGGAAAATTGTTTGAGTTTTTCTTTTGTAATGGGGGCCTACGCGTGAAGTTTTCTTTTTTGTGTGGTTTTATAATGGGTAGATGGATTCGTCTGGTCTCAACACATTGATGTATTTTGGCACGGTTCTGATCATTTAGGTTGGACGAGACACACTTGTACTTCACGGTTGTTAAACTAACCGGCCCAGCCCTATTTGAGCTTAAGCTCAAGTTGGGCTGCGATGGGTGTCACTCTAATTAGCATGTTGATGAACAAGCAAACAAATATTATGCTGGAGTGATTTAATTTTGCATCCGCAACCGCACGTGGGACTGACGGCAATGGCAGCCAAAATTACTTTGTCTCTTCCCTTTTTGTAAGGGTATAATTTAATCTTACTGTAAACCGCGTGACAGGTCTCTTTCTTTAGAAAATTAAAGTAATTTGAGTTAAAGGAAATTTTGTTTATCAGTTACTTATAATACATTTAACTCTTCCTGTGGGCAAGTCCGTAAGAATTCAGCTTAATCGAGGACATATAGAGCTATGAATGATAAAATTCACAAGTTCTAAACGTGATTGAGGTTGGGGCCAGCCATTGAATTTCTGTGTAGCGAGTAGGTTATAGCAGAAAAGAGCATGAAAATGAAAGATGTAAGCAATTACATCAAGGTTAGATGTGGCGCCAAATGTGTAAATCTAGGAACTTGCTTACGCGCTGCTGAATTTTCTACTTTGGAGTTGTTTACCGGACATTAGATTTCCAAAATTCAAGGTTAAGTTACCGATAGACTTTTTCTCCAATAGATTAGCAAAATAGAGGACAAATTTGAACATCGTCTGGCTGGAACGCTTTCAGCTCCTTTTCACTGCAATGGGCAAAAACCTTTCCTGTCACTAGTCGAAATCATTTGATCTTTAGAGGTAGTGAAACTGGCACCATTCTGCAGGAGTTCAGTGAATGATTTGATATCAAATTAGATAATGTGAATGTTGTGGCTGTTTTTCAAAGAAAAATCTTTCGTTTTATCGAACTGATCAGTAACCTAGTGGCATAGATCTATCTGAATAGATAGATTGATAGGTCGAGCTTTGCGTCTACTTTGGGTTGGAAACTAAATTGCATGTCTCGAACTTGAAAGCACGACAGTGTATAGGTTAAGATGACTGTTCTGAAGAGTTCATTTATTAAATTTAGGAATGCAAGTCTAAAACACGAGAGCCGCGCCCTTTGTTTTCTTGTCTCCTCTATTAATTTAAAGGTTAGTAATCCTCTGCTTCATAGTTTCACGATCTTGAATATTAGGGGCTTACCCTAGCTCGAAATGTTTGCATCTTTTAAGTGCTAGCTGCGCCTTCGTTTTACAGGACGTGCATTCTAACCTTAATACAACTTTTTTTGTGGTCTTGGCTTTTTTGTGAAAGACAGGTTTAGTTTGACCTCCATAACCAGACTGCTTGCGATCATATCTACGCTTTCCTTGGGCGAAGAGTGACGCCTAGCTGTTTGTCAGGGGTTTCGGTCATTTCTTAAGTTATGTTAAGTTGCTGTCTACCTTTCCAGCTTTGTATTGCGTTACTTTGTGCTGAGTATGCTTTTTGCAATCTTTCCCCTTGCAGTACGTTCGTCGAGTTTTCGGGACGTTGACCTGAATGAAATTATCAGTCCACAAATATTCAATAAGTGATTCAGTGGGCAAATTAGAGTCTATTCGAAGATTCTGAGATGGCCAGCTAATTTTCATTGAAAAGCCTGAGCATATGTCTGCGAAATAAGGCGCAATTTTTTTTACTATCATTGCTTCAGATGTCTTATACACAGCTCACGCCATCTTATAAATCCTTACGGCCATTACTAGAGCTGAGTAAATGAGGATAAAAAACTAATCGGCTACTCACCATTTTGGATAAGGTGATAACTAATAAAGTGTTTAAATTTTGCTGTTTATTGTGTCGTCCTAATTGTGGGAGCGTAATGTTTTATCTCGCTTAACAGGAAGCCGACAAGTGGTGGTTGCCTAATTTTGAAACATGTGATGTTAACCATCAAAATATGTCTGGTCGTGTGGCTCATCGGTATGAACAGCATGTTGAAGTCACTCGGAAATTTCATATGGCTAAGGATCCAAGATTGACAGACCTCTAGATCAGTACGAGGCTCTGATGTATTATAATAATTATGTAATGCTGATCATGTCGGAGTCCTGGCACAAGATAAAGAATTTCGTACCTATATAGACAATACCCTGTTCTGATAGAAAATCATGTCACAACTCGTCTCAAGCTCAACTACCCGTTTTGGTAGTTTGGAACCACGAGACACCCGTAACCCACACTATCACAATGCGGAGGACGAAGGCTTAACACCTGTCAGTGGTGTCCTCTACGTACCTGGGAGCGAAATATTCTCCCAGAGCCGAGATTCAGTCACGAAAAAGGGTGGGGTGAATTTTAATTGATGGATTTTCGACTTGAAGGAGTTGCAGTCGATATTTTGGTCGAAAAATCAGTCGACAGAGATTTCAAAGCCGGAACAACGTCGAACAAAAACTCATCACCACCAACTTACAATTCACGAATGGGCCTAGGTATATCTGGGGGTCGTATTCAAACATCCGACATCTCTCAAACTCCTTTTATATTTGCGACGAAGCATTTCTCAGTCGATCCAATACCTGCGACCCACTTCCATTCTCGTCCGATCACCTACCTACACACGCCATAATGAGGAAAGTCATGATGGAAATGGGACGTGTACAAAGGAAGAAGAAGAAGAGGGAAGATACACCGAGGGGATTACACAAACCCCCAATGACGACAACAACCCGATGGTACGATATGAAGGTGCAAGGCTAGAGCAACGATGAGATCTGGGACTAAATTTATATTTCGGAGTCAATGAGGATGTCAAGGGCTCGGGCGTGTGGTTGCCGAGGATGAGGAGGAAATTGCGCTACGGCGTGTATACAGCGGGTTTCTGGACGGTCAGACTTGGTATGATTCAACACATAGGTGAAGTCTGAGGTGGTCCGGTCATTTAAATGGGACGAGGTATATCTGTACTTTGCGGTAGTTAACCTGATCCGGCCCAACCCTCCTCGTGCTTAAGCTCCAATAGGAGTGCAACGGTAGTCATGTAACCTAGCACGTTAATGAACAAAACAAAACAAATCAAAACCATCACAAGGCTAAGCTGATCTCATTTTTCACACATTCTAATCTACCTGTAACCTCATACGGACGACCAAATGACATCATCACCCTTCAAAAATCGGAAAATTTATTCTTCAGGCTCTGTGGCTCCACCAACAACCTGCAATTATCAATGATCTTTAAAGTAACATAAGGGGCAAGGAGCACTGTACAAGGTTTGGCCTAGGCCAGAGAGGAGGTCAACGTGCTAGATTGTCTATGACTCAAGTAGTACAATGAACATACATCTCTCTCTCTTTCTACACTAACACACTCATTTCCCTCTGAATATTAGATCTCCTTCCTCTAGCATCGTGCAGACACCTCGCAAATCTACTCGAGATAAGCCCTACACCTCTGCGCCCCCGGGAATAAAAACACTGACTACACTTGGCCTTTCGATTGCTCACTATCGAAAAACTTCAAGCGCCCCTCAAATTGAAGGCAACTCGACACTCGAGCCCCCCCTTCACAGGGTGAAAGTGCGCACAACTTCCTCGGGTTCGCGTCGCTCCTCCAGAAGGGTTTCGAAGCCATCGAAAGTCACCAAACGCGTGTCAAAAATAGCGTTAAAGATATAGATGAGATCCTAGAAAGCTGATTCAAGAGTCAAACGGGGTTGCAGCAAGCAGTCAACCTTGACGTTGCAAGATTCCTTGCCACGCATTTATAGTCTTTCATAGCTAGAGACGCAAGATTGAGCTCCAAATTAACCACCTCTCATAGTCCCTTAGGAGGCAAGGACAACCCGGCGAAGCACGCTCCATCTAGCGCCTCCAAAATTACACCCGCGTCCGATTATCACTCCTACGCCGAATTGGCCCAAATAAAACATAGCGTCAATGGCGCCTGTTTGGACACCCGCCCGACCAACCGTGGGGTTTCCGAGTGCGTCTTGTGTTCTTTGTAATGGATTGGTGTGGGTGTAACAATGGAATGATATCACTTTGTGTCTCGTGGCTCCTAAGTACTACGGATCTTGTGTAAAGCTTGAGACTCATACGTGAATTCTTTTATTCCACTCTTACACCTACACCAATCCGTTACTAAGTACACAACGTGCGCTTGGAAACCTCAACAATTTATTTTTGAAGCGTAAACCTCATTTCAAGTTTCGAAAAAAAGAATCAGTAAGAATAACCCGTCCAACCACTCATCATGTCTGAAAGGAGCGAGCCAGCAATAATTGCGGGCGTTCAAAAAAAAGTTCGTGAACATATTGGTCAGCAAAGCGAGTTCAACAATGGGTTCAAGAACCAACTAGAAAAACCCGAAAGCTTATTAGGTTCGCAAACAGATATCGCCATCAGAACAGCGGAATAGAGTGAAAAAATGGCCTAAAGGATGGACCGTATAGAAAAAATGATGTCCGAGATAAAGACAAACCTCAAAGAGCTCCAACCAAGAAACCAACCTAGTAAGCTCGCAATATCTGAGTCCTCCAATCCGGTAATCCGACCTGGAAAAGGGAAAAACCTGGCAAGGCTGGACGCATACACACCGGTTGACAGCAAAAATGTCATCTCCAAACCAGAGCCCGATTTCTTCACTTTAACACCCGGCGAAGAATTCGTCAAAGAAGCCCGAACTTAAGCACTTCTAGCCCATGGGATAAATCACGAGGCATATACCAGCATTAAGAATAAGGTAATTATAAGACCGGAACTCCCCCTCGATAAGGTTAATTCTACTTTATTTTCGAAGCTTGCTGGAATTCAGTCAGCCTTTAGAATTACCTTAGTCCTGTACTGGTACTGGCCACAACGGCTGTGCTTAGATATGACAGAGGACTTCCAAGGTACATGAGTTTGGGTCGAGGAAAATCCGGTGATTACATGGCCCCTGCTTGAGTAAGTAATCTTTAAAACTATGCAGCGACTAGACATTCTACTTAGTCCTAGAACCATCTTCACCCGCCTCGCTGCCAGAGATGGAGAAGACGTCAACTCTTTCGCCATTTGGATCCACGAATGATACTACTGCTAATACAAGCAAGACAAAGGAAGCAATACAACTCGTGACACTCTATCCGATGTCACAAAGACTTAATTGCCGCAAATATGGACACATATTCAGTAATGATGGTAGGAAAATGAAATAGTGATGGTGTCGAATTCCTTGTCCAAATAGTGACCCGGATTTCAAAATGGCCAGCGCAAGCAAATCTTTGCGTTAGCGGTGATACAAACCCATCGTCTAAGCTCCTGATATCAGATCCTAGGTTGGACTAGCATTTAATATTCTCAATATAAGAGAGAGCCGATTAGATTACATCAAAACTTGAGAACTCTTTCCCGGTACGCGACGCCAGTTGTGCTATTTGTAAAAAAATGGCACACTCGGCTAGAGAATGCCCGAAGAACAATTACACAAAGCAGGTACTGCAGTATCATGAGAAAGATACTAGTATCACGGTTTTAGTACAAAATGCACGGGCAATCTTGTAAGTACAGTATATTAATTATTATTCTCTGAAGAGAGAATTTCTCAAACTAAAGACAGCATATATGTACATTCTAAATTATTACACTACGAGAAGATTCTCTCTGTGACCTGAATTACTGAGACTCTTCGATGACTACCTAGAAGTTTCTTGGTACACCTGTTAGCCTCATGAACTTTCAGTATGTTTCCAGAAGGTTCACTGAGAATATTCGAAGTTCTGTGGCTTCCTAGACCTTTCCCGAAGATTACCCTTGTGTCATAGCCTACGCTAGCAAGCATAGGCTTCAGGGGTCTTTCGGCTTAACAGCTGTCACTACTAGTAAAGACAAGTACGGTAACTTCAAGAAGAGATTTTCGGCCCTCCTAGACAAGAATAGGCACCAAAAATAACCACAGCACATAAGGATACCAGGGAACCGAGGGTGCTATCTTATCGACTCAATAGACTCCGAAGGGATACCCGGTGACCATGATCATGTGGTTTGTTTTCCAACCGACGACGAGTTGGAAAGAATCTTATATATGTTAGAAGAGGAACATCCAGCCGAGTAAGGACGCTAAGGTGCCTTCTTCGTGGCAGTAGACATTGATAATCACACCCTCCCCCTCGTCATCAAACCAACACGAGAGAGTCATGGCAAGCTACACAACTTAATTCTCACTCGTTTAATAACGTCTCCTCTGTTCACTCTCTCGACTTTTTTCGATTACAGTTGTCCTTGTCATACTTCCGCATCTCTCGCACAAAAACTAAGCCCCTTCTAAACAAACTATGCTTCCATAATGTCGGAATAGGTGTCAAAGGCGTCACTGTCTCTCAAGACGTTTTAGTCAACGCTCAATTTTCCTTATCCTCACATAATAATGCAGAGTGTTCAAAGTTATTCACCGTTTCAGCAGGCGTTGTTTCCGAATCTAATTTTCCTGGAGACCTCACGCTCGGGTAAACAGTATTTCATGCTTTCGGTTTACAATTCTTGGCCAGCGGCGAGATAAAGCTCCTTGAATTCCCAGACAAACCAACCCTAACCACCCATAACAAACACAAACCTTCCCAAAAAATCTCTACGACCACAGTGGTAATAAAAATAAAATGGCACCCGAGGACTACAACCCAGGGTTTAAAAGATGGTCGAGTTTATGCAGAAAAATTTCCTTCCCTTATTGATAAATCTTTGAGAAGATCGTGAATTCTTTCAAAAACTTCCTACCGAATAGATACAAGTAATAGCCCACCAGTCACTTTTCCACCAAGACGTTACAGCCTGTCACAACTTTAAGCTACTCTTTTGTGGTTATGAGCCGTGAGGTGTATGGCAATTGTTACTCTGCTGTCCGTCGGTGGAGTAGCACGGGCTCATGTGCAATAGTGAGTCGCAGAGATGGCGCGCTCACGCTGGGTCGACGGCACGATAGATACTGAGTGCGTATCATTGTGACCAATGGGCGTCAGTAGGTATCAAATGTGAACTCTTACTGACAATGGTGATCTATGAAGGTAATGCCAGATGCGCATTCCAACAATTGATAATATCATCTAATGGATGATGTGAAGAATGATATTATTTTGATAGATTGATTCACTAAACTCGGCAGGTGAAGAGATTGTTGTCGAATAGTAGGACACAAGTTTTATTTGGATGTGCATTAAACAAGGATGCTGGAGTTTGGGTGGCAATAATGATTATGAAGATGTAATGACAAATGGGTAATAATTAGTAATAGCTGTGTAAGCATATATCATGTGACGAGTGTTCAAGGTCATTAAGGCCCTGGCGCTCCGTCACAAATGAAGAGAGATACAAATGAATGAAACAATTGTTATTGAGTTACCTCAAACAAAGAATCCATAGGAAATATACCGACAATTGTAGAGTACATGAACAGGGTCTGTGCATCAGCATGTGTTTTCCACCCTTTGCTAATATAGCAGCTCATCCTCCTTTCGTCTGTCTCCCAATAACTCAACTAAGCTGTCACAACATTTCCGCGATTTTTGCGAAGCCCACGAAGGAATAATAATCAAAAAAACGCTAAGGACTCTGGGCAGCACTTTTGTTACTTACACCCAAGAAGACGAACGCAAACTCAGACAAAGTAATCTGGCGAATATGTGTTGATTGAAGAGAACTAAATAGAGTTACAAAAAATACACACATCTGTAACCAAATACGTAAGACTAAATCTAACGAGCTTCCGGACACAAATACTATGCATTTATCGACCTCGAAAATAGTTTCCAACAAATCCGAATGCACGAAGATAACAGTGAAAATACCGCCTTCTTCACTCCCTTCGGTGTTTACCAATAGCTAGTTATGCCTCTGGACTCTTTAACGCTCCAGCCACGTTTTAATCATTTATGGAAGAAGTTCTTCAACCATTCCGACCGTTTGTCGCAGGACTACTAGATGATGTAGCAGTCTGGTGACACACACCCGAAGAACTCCACACTCGCTTGCTTCTCGTTTGTACTAGGTTTGCGGAGTATAGATTGATTCTCAACAGATCCAAATGCCATCCTTTTATCATACACGCCATTTTCCTCGGATTTTCTATTTCCTTTCTGGGAATTTCAGTAGACCCAAACAAAGTCTCTGCGATACGAGACGGGCATATGCCGAAAACTACGTCTAAGACTCACGGGCTTGTCAAAGCTAAAGGCTATCTTCGTTCGCTAATTAAAGATTTCTCAGAATTGGCCAGCCCTCTCATTGATCAGTCCATCGGGCGAAAGGATGCGCCTGTCGTCCTCACCGCCGAGTCTCAAGCAGCGTGGAGCAAAATTAAAGATGCCCTCATAATTACCCCAGTGGTAAAATGTTTCAATAGGCGCCCGCGTGTCGTTTTTGAAACAGATGCATCCCAAAAGCTCTTTGGGGCAATATTGCTCTAGCCCAGCATTTCAGTATCCGATAACTTTTGATCAATTCTCCATCCTATAGACTAATTTCCACGTAAACCCGACGATAAGCAGCAACAGTACTCGGCTCAAGAACGGGAACAACTGGCAATCTTAATGGCTTTACAACACTTGCGACACTGGGTAGAAGGATCGGACGTCACTGTTGTCATGGGCCAAGAATTACTTAAGTCTATCCGAACTAAAGCTGAACAACTAGTAAGAATTTTCCGATTCCTAGATAGCATCGAGCATCATGGCATACGAATAGTGTATCGAAAGGGTAAAGCAAATGTTTTGGAAGACTACTTATCAAACTATGGATAGTTTGGAGCGATCAATTTTAGATATAGAGTTTTAGGTGTTAGGTTTATGAAGCTTGGTGTCACTTGTTTCGGACAAAAGTATTTCGGTTGGGTTAAAGCAATAAGAACTCTATATCTTCTGACTAGTGATGTTTCGTTCTAAACCATGAGAAACTTGGTTCATGGGGATAGATAGAACATTGCCATTTTCTGAACATATATAATCTAGATAGTAAAAGAAAGAGAAAGAGCATCCAGGAATTAATTGACAATTTTTACATTTTACATTATTTAATTGACTCGCAGATTCTAACACTACTTATCACGCCCAACGTAAATTACGTACCCTACTGGAGAAGAGCATGAAGATCTACGCAACACTCAAGAAATGGTTCCACAGCAAGGCAACCTGCGCGAGCAGGAAACCATGAGTATTCCCGAACATTTAAACTGGATAGACTTTCCATGTATCTTCGAGTACCTTTTAACTGGACAAGATCCCCCACTAAAAATCACCGCAAACTGGATATAGAAAACGTTTACAATCTACGACAATAAACTGCATTTAGTCAAGCCAATAACCCCGACTACTGTAGGAGATTCTCCAACGATGTCAACGTCTTGCACCATACTCTCCGTGCTAGAACGGAAAGAATTTGAAAAGGAGATCAGACTCATCCACGAAAGCCAAGTACATGCATCTATTGGGACGGCCATGCGAGTAGCCAACCGGAAAATTTGGCACCGAGAATTACTCCTGGCCACACTCCAAGATATTCAAGACTGCCGTTCGTGCCAACTAATGAAGCCGCCGGACCCAGCGCTAGGTAACCTAACGTCTATTCAACCAGCCCCACCCCTCACTCGTTGGAGTATTTTCACTGATCCGTGATTAGAACTTTCATACTAATATTGATTCGTGATTAGATGAAGGGGTGGTC